GCGCACCCTGTGCATGCACGCGTCGACTTGGAGTGTGTATATATGATGAATGTCTCTGTGCGCACCCTGCGTATGCACGTTTGGACTTGGAGTATATGTATCTGATGAATGTCTCTGTGCGCACACTTGTGTATGCACGTGTGGACTTGGAGTGGGTGTATCTGATGAATGTTTTTGTGCGCACACCTGCGGACGTGTCGGCTTGGAGTGGGTGTATATTCCGAATGTCTGTGTGCGCACACCTGCGCATGCACGTTTGGATTTGGGGTGTATCTGATGAATATCTGTATGCGCACACCTGCGCATGTATATGATGAATGTCCGTGTGCGCACCCTTGCGCATGCACGTTTGGACTTGGAGTGTGTAAATGATGAATGTCTCCAGTTTGAACTTGCAGTGTGTATGGCTCTATGAGGCCTTGTCAACACAGATCTGTATTCGGTGATGGCTCATAGGATCGTCTGCACTGCCTGCCTGCATGTGTGTGGTCGGTCGGTCGGTTAAGGGTTTGGCGCGACACCTGTCCCTAAGCCCGGCGCTACCTTCCGGCGCAACCAGGCATCTTCTCTGTCCAGAACACACACCAAACAGGCAACAGGCACACGCAGAATGCATGCACAAGGCCTATCTGCCCTTCCCATGGAACCCATGTATGTGTTAGTCGGACAAGTCAGCCTCAAGCACCCACTGCTCCATCTCATGCAACTCATATATCAAATCATATTCTCCATCAAACTGGCTAGGTGGCAGAGATGGATTGAGTGCAAGCCAACGAGTGCGCTCCTTCTGTGCAGCTAAGAGAAAGTCTGCGACTGCTGATAGGAGTGGGAGCTTGTCTGACTGCAGCAGGCAAGTAGTGAAAACAATAGGATGAGCCTTGCCCCATCGCTTGTAGTTACATGCATCAGGGGCAGTAATACCATACTTGCTAACAACTCTGAGAAGCGTCTGCCGTAATGTAGAGTATAAAGGACACGAGACAAGTATATGTGTCTCATCCTCCACTGGCGGACGAGGCACAGGATGGCCACCGACATCGCGTACAGAGGCTAACAGATCATTACGATGTGAGCAGAAAGCACATGGTCTATACTCTCTCGGACAGTCAATCAATCGGCCATCCGTGAGAGCAGACGGGTAACAATCGGTTTGAAAGAGAAAAAGAACACGTCGCTGATGTACAGGGAGTGCTAATATGGCGGAAAGGCTGGCAGCGGCTGAATAAGCCGATGCAGCCAATCCTGTCCATGCTGAAGCACTTCCATGTATGTCTGCGACGGTACATATGGTTCCATACACACGAGCGAGTCAAGATCGCACCGGCACTCACGCAAGGGAGGGGCAAAGGAACGATGCAAACGTGGGAATGACACAGAAAAGAAATGATAAAATAGACGACAACCAGGGACAAAAAGGAGCTTACGTGCTTGAAAAAGTGCTCTGCCTGAGACACTTGTCTGACCATCTGCATAAGAACGCCATAGAAGGAAAGACACTGCCTGAGCCGTTAGAGATATAGGCGGGGGGAGAGAGGGAGTAGCAGGCAAGCTAGGGACCCGAGCATGAGTCCAAGGTTTTTCCAAGATTCGAGCAAACTCGGACTTTGTGAGGGCACAGCGAAGTGTTTTCATCTCGGGCTCAGTCAAGGGCCCAAGCTGAGAAACACGCGCCCGTTCCCCCATAAAGTCCAACATCTGCGCAAACAAAAAAAACCATTGTCCCTGTGGAAGTGTATATATGCACTGTCCCGTTGCATACGAGAGAAGCCGTAGAACAGCGATATGCATTCTGTGCGACAAAGAAAGCCTTCTCAGCCAAAACCACCGCACGACGATTACGCACCCGAATATAGAAAGACAGCTGACGGCAGCGGGCCTCGAACAGAACCGAAAAACGACCCAGCTCGCACAATAGCGCATCGGTAGAGACACGGCGTGTTACGCGCATGCAAGAAAGCAAATAGTTACGATGGACACGCTCCAACCCATCACATTTATTCCCCGCCCATAACTCACTACCATACAAGTACACCGACGCAACAGTAGCATCATACAGCTGGAAACGAGTCTGAAGATCAGGGGGGGGCAGCTGGCGAAGGCGCCGCTGATGCAACGCCAAGGCAGCGACTTCTTTCTTGGTCATCATCTCTATATGATGCTTCCATCCGCCCTTCTCATGAAACCACATGCCCAGATAACGCATAACAGGCACACGCTCAATCACCTGACTGGGCCCCCCAAAGTAAAACTGCCTCTGTCTCTCATATGGTGGGACACGATCAGGATGGAAAACAATTGTCGTTTTCCATGTCTCGCGCTTGTTTGCAGTGTGCGACATGTTTTCGCAGTCAACGAGCGTCTGTCCATTGTTTTTTGCATGTATTGTTTTCTTTCCTTGCTTGATACGACTGATGCTTCGACGATTTTCGTCGCCCGTTCATGTATCTACTTAATCACATTATCTTTGTTTTATGTGTACTGATGTCCATGTGATTCAGTGTGCACCATGCATACAGACGATCTAGACTACGCTGTAAGCCAGCTGCCGTTGAATGCACGAGAGCCAAGTCATCGGCATACAGCAAACAAAACACAATCAGATCAAGCAAGAGCAAGAGAGGACTTGACTGTTGGTTCGCGTGACCTTGTCGAATGTACTCAGGCAAGTCATCGACAAAAAGGGAAAACAGAAGTGGACCCAACACATCACCTTGCTTGACACCGAAGAGCTCACGAAAGACTGCCGAGAAGCCCTCATAGCCACCATCTACACACGCCTCCACATTCGCATACAATGCCTCCAATGCACGCACGATGTTCTCACTCACACCTTTCGCACGTAGTTTACACCACAGCAGTCGGCGATTGATCGAGTCGAAGGCCTTACGAAAATCCACAAAGCACACATAGAATGGAGAGCCCGCTCGCTTGGCACGTTCGATGAGTGTGGCTAACACAAAACAATGCCCGATAGTGGAGTGATCCGTACGAAATCCTGCCTGTTCAGGGCATATCTTGGCTTGCTGCAGCAGCAACGGCTGAAGCACATTACCATACAGCTTCATGAAAACAGGCAGCAGATGGATGCCCCGATAGTTATCAGGATCACTCAGTGTGCCCTTCTTGTGAATAGGATGAATGATGATACAGTCATTCGTGTACCCCCAGTAAGACGTACGGAGATATGTCGAGAAAATCATGCTGAGATCCTCAAGTATGGGACCGCCTACCTTACGAATGATAGAGTAAGTGATACCATCCATCCCTGGGGCACTGGAGTTAGAGCACTTACTGAGAGCACTTTGCAAATGAGCAACAGAAAACGGTTGATGTGCTCTCCAGTCAACATGCAAAGGTGCTTGACGCGCCAACTCATTCACACGATCAGCCAATTGAGGGGTGAGCATATACGTAGATGTGCGCTTAGAGACATTCATCATATATGCACACTCCAAGTCCAAACGTGCATGCGCAGGTACTCCAAGTCGATGCGTGCATGCGCAGGTGTGCGCACAGAGACATTCATTATATACACACACTCCAAGTCCACGCGTGAATGCACAGGTGTGTGCACAGAGACATTCATCATATACAAACACTCCAAGTCCAAACGTGCATGCGCAGGTACTCCAAGTCGACGCGTCCATACGTAGATGTGCGCACAGAGACATTCATCATATATGCACACTCCAGGTCCAAACGTGCATGCGCAGGTCCTCCTAGTCGACGCGTGCATGCAGAGGTGTGCGCACAGAGACATTCATCATATATACACACTCCAAGTCCAAACGTGCATGCGCAACTCCAAGTCGACGCGTCCATACGTAGATGTGCGCACAGAGACATCAATCATATATGCACACCCCAAGTCTAAACGTGCATGCGCAGGTACTCCAAGTCGACGCGTGCATGCGCAGGTGTGCGCACAGAGGCATTCATTTTATACACACACTCCAAGTCCACGCGGGAATGCACAGGTGTGCGCACACAGACGTTCATCATATACACTCACTCCAAGTCGACAAATGCATGCGCAGGTGTGCGCACACAGACACTTCAAGTCCAAACGTGCATGCGCAGGTGTGCGCACAAAGACATTCATGAAATTCAGGATATACACACACCACCTGCGCACAGAGACATTCATGATATACACACTCTATGTCGACGAATGCATGGGCAGGTGTGCGCATGCATATGGTCATCTGGCGTGTTGTGTAGGGTGTGTTGCGAGTGACGTCCGATTACCCAGTGTCGCGGGACATCGTTTGCGACAAGCACTCGTGCATCTTTGACGAGAAGGCATTTCAAGTCGTCAACGACACCACATTCATGTGCACTCTGTGGTACGACAACGAGTGGGGATACGCAAACAGGTAAGTAAGGAGCCAACAGGGAGAGGGGAAAGAAAGCTGTAAGTCTCATTTGGGTGTGTCCGTGTCCATCTGCGTCTGTCAGGGTGGTGGATTCAGCCATGCACATGGCCAAGGTGGACGGCATCTTGGTGTCCTGAGCAAAAGCTGTTGCCGTCCTTCGCTGCGTACGTGAGTCCCGCCTATTGTTGGTGTAGAGCTGCCTCTTCGTGTGTCTGTGTGTCTCTCCCGCCCGCTATCTGCGTGTCTGGGGGAGCTGCCCCGCGACAAACTGACTAATATGAGGTCGTAGTCTGGGCGGGTGGGAGAACAGGAGATGAGCCCATACGAGCGAGCAGCCCACTCCATGGTTGTGCTCCATGTTTGAGTGCACTTGCTGAGTGTGCGTGTGAAGTGAAGTGCCAGTGTGCATGTATGCGTATGTGTCTGCATTTTTGTGGGAGTGCGAGAGGGGGCCATCGATAGGGGGCCATGCCATTGTAGCCGTCGATTTGCCTGCATCCTGAGAAGCGTGGCGCATGCATACTCGGTAATGTCTGCATGTGTTTTGATCCATTGATGTGGCAGGGGGGAGAAGAGATGACTGATATCAACGTGCCGGGGAGCGGATGGACGGTGACGGAGCTGTTGCGGGATCGGGGTTTGTCGGTGTATCTTCCTATCGGTGCACTGGGATAGGAAGGGCGTTTTTGTTTCGGTAGCACCAATATGAGTAGCCACTGCGGCGAGCGCGCGGTGTGTGCGTGTGTGTGCATGCCTTTGTGTGTGTGGCTGTGTAGTTAGTGTGAGTCAGGCCGACTTGGTCGCTGCCTGTATGGTTGCTCGCCTTTAAAGAGACACACATGTACCGTCAGTAGCATGGCCTCTGTTTGCGGTGTCCGTATAATCTCTGGTACATACATTCACATCCACACAGAAACAGCGCATGAGCTCTCTCTGTGCATGCATGTTTCTCCCTCCCTCTGTGCGTCCACCCTCCACCTCGTGTATTCAGACAGAGGAATTGGCTACCCCCCACCGACAAGGGATGCATGAAACATGAACGCATTCTCGTGACCAACTGTGAGGCAAAGAGCATAATGTCTGAGAATGAAACCGAATTTTTCTGGACAAGTGGTGGATCCATTGAGGTAGCACATGCGATGAACGTTATATTCGCTTTCAATCATCTCCTTCCCCCAGACCGTTTTCGAGAACCAACCACTTCTTTCCATCACTTACACAAACCCTAGTCAGAGAGAGCGTAATTTCTGAGTAAGAAAACGACTTGTTCTGTACAATCGGTGGACGGATTTTGAGAAGCCTTTTAGTGAAAGGTGCGTCTCACACACGATCTCCCTATGTCTATGTGACACTGGACTATGCGGATAGACACGCATAGTCTCCATGTCACACTCGGAAAAAATGCTTCTCTCTCTCCCTCCCGCCCTCCCTTTCCGTCTTCAGCCAGGGGCGAGGGAAACTATAAGTGTTTACACACGAGACATCAACAATTAGTACACACCCATCTGCATAGAACAACGACATGCGCCTGACGGATGAAACCATGATCGAACCGATGATCAATTAATGCGATGCAGCAGGTGCACTCAGCAAGTCGGCCATCCCATCACACACATACCACACATACTTATGAGAGAGCACTGTGATACGAGGCCTTATTACGCACTTTACACACACATCAGACCAGAAAAACCTATCGCTTGTACTTCTCCATGATGTCTGTGACCCCTGAATGCCGCGTCTTGTCCTACGGCGTCAGTCCCTGTTGTCATGATATATAGGGCATCACTCGAAGCATCGTTGTCTCTGATGTCAGAAGCGCAGAGCCTCCCAACTCCAGCCTTTGAAAAGGACACAGAGAGAGTGTGTTGATGAGATGTTTTTGTCATTCATGTGTGTCGCTTACAGCTGAGACACTTTTTCAGATTTGCCCTTGAATGCCGTCTTTCCGCCCTGAGACACATCTGTGTCACCTTTTCTGTCTGTGTGAGAAGGTCCCTTCCCCCTTTGGCATACAGCAACTTCATCACATCTTCTGTATCACTCATAGTTTCTGCAGCAGCGATGAATGGCGTGTCGTCATTCTGCACTCAACACACAATTGATCGACGAAAAGAGGCGTCAGAGACATTCGTGTGCTCTGTTGCCTTGTCGCGTGCATTGATCAGTTTGGGATCCCACTCCATCAGCTGATCGACCCGCAAGATTTCCAAGTCACTGTGCGGCAGCCCAGTGCAGGGCGTTCTCACCACACTGCATTGCATCACAGCCAACACACATCTCATCAGCAGCAGCACAGAAGATGGTTTGTCTGTGTTGGTACCTCGTCTATCTGCTGCAGTATGTCACGTTTGCTCTCATACATGATGTACATGATGCCGACGTGACCTTTCACTGCAGCTTCCAGGAAGGGCGTGTACTGCGCAGGAATGGGAAAGAGTGTATTTCTTCTCTCTCCCCCCCTCTCTCTCTCCCTCCCTCTCTCTCTCTCTCTTGTTCTCCCCTTTTTCTTGTTTTGTACCTGAAATGCATTTCGTTGGTCGAGTATGTCCTTTGAAGACTTGTCGATGAGCGAACGAACGGACTGCGCATCGCCGGCCTTGACGTCTCAAATATGTCTTATGCACACAACCAGCACAAGAATAGCGGCCCATTGACGTGTGGGATTCAGTTGCTGTCTCCCTCACGTGTTTGATCTGCGGCTGTGGGGCGCTCGGCGGTGTCTTCACTGATGGCGGTTGAGTGGGGGACTTTGCACACACAAAGAGCATTGAGTGGTGTGGCACTCTGTTGGTGTGTGTGTATGTCTCACAGACCTATGTGCTGTGAGGGCGGCCGAGAGGTCTTGGCCGCCCTGCTCGTCGTTGTACTGGCTGTGCTCACGTGAACACTCGATGAATGGCCGACGGGAGACACACTGGCTGGAGGAAGCGATACAGCTGCAGCAGACCACAATGAGACACACTGATAAACACCTATGAAATTGACCTTGTCGCTTGGAGCTTCCAAACAGCCACCCAGCGGACCCGTACCAGGTTCCGTAGCCCCCTTTTCCTTCTCTGTTTCCACTTGAGGAGGGGAGGGCGTCGGAGGATGCGAGATCCCCAGCTTGTCGAGAACCTGCCATCAAGACGGACCAAGTGTATGAGCCTGCCTCTATTTGCAGTCTGACTTTTTTGGATGGTCGCAAGGAGGGGGGAGAGAAAAATAGAACATCATGGGGCATCTCTTCGTTGTCGATCTGCCTTGATGGAAGTCCTGGTGTGCGGCGGCAGAGATGCCGGGATGTCAGGAATCTGACAGAAGGGAGACACGAGTGAATGTATAAGACACGAATGTATAAGACACGAGACGCTGCAAGTACCTCTTTTTTGTCGATGACCTTCCGACTGATCTGCATCAAACCTTTGCCTTCAAACGGTGGTCGACCTGCCGATTATGCCTGCTGTCTCATATTGTGTCTCGCCTGTTTTTTGATCTGCTGCTGACCTCCATGAAGCTCGCCCAGTACTTAGAACGCACATACGCAGGTGCACAAGAGAGAGCTGATGAACTAGTGGTTTGAACCATGTCTCTTTTGTATGTGGGACTGCTTACTGCCGCCCAAAGCCCATACGTCCGCCTTGACAGTCGACTTGTCCACTGACAGAGAGAACAACAAGCGCCTGAAGTAATATTGACTCGCTTCGCTTACAGTCTGTGTTGTAGCCCTCGGGGGGCATATCTATAGCCACGAGTCATTTCTGCTCTCGTGAGCCGCACTGTGAACGATCCGTGTGTGAATACCGGCGGTCACCGTTGTCTTCCTCTGAGCACCGCGAATCATCCCGAAATCCGATATCTTGATCTTTTGGCGGTGACCCAACTGACAAATAAGTGAAACAACAACAAGAGTTCTGAAACTGTGTGAAAGAGAGGATCTCTGTTGTGGCCGACCAAAATGTTTTCAGGTTTCAAATCTCTGTGGACGACTTGGTTATCGTGAAGATATTAAACGCCCTCACAGATCTGTGAGCAAGACACACACACGCAGACAGGGGCACTCATAGATGACGGAGACATAAGAGACCTGTCCATGCTCCTTTCGGCCTGTTTGGCGAAGCTGTCTCGCACATCGGGCGGCAGCGGTCGGTGCTTGGTCAGATAGGATGCCAGGGAGCCGCCCTCACACAACTCTGACAATGGCGAGGAGACACGAGAAGGGACAAGGCGCACGGATGAAAAGAAGAGTGAACTGACAACCTATGACGATCATGAGTCCGTGTTTGTCGTCTCTGCAGACGCCCAGCAGCTGTACTATGTTTGGGTGTCGGAGCTGAGCCATAGGCAATGCCTCCTTGAGCACCTCCATGAACTGCACTGCACTCAAATGGGTCTCCCCCTTACTGGCGTGCAAGCTCGCAAGGGAAGGAGGCCGAGTCCCGCCCGATAATATGCAGGGTGTGTTTGTGTACCTAGAGCTGTGGCTGACCCTTTTACCCATTCAAGCAGCCCCTTCATCCCACCTCATCTAGCGGGCACCGCGTCTGCTGCCAGAACGGGCTCTACAAGCCAACGAGAGCTACGACGGCAGCTGCAAGTGGACAGACTGCACCAAGTGGTACGTGCTGTCCGTCTCAGTGGCCTTCCGGCCCACGAGCACGTCAGAACGATCGATCCTGCCACTGGACACGATTGATGAGCTCTCCAGCGCTGAGTGTGCGCCGTGCGCTGCTGACGCTGATGCGCTCAGCAGGCTGACGCTGAAGACCGGCCTGATGAACAAGACTGAGGCGGCAATCTTTGCGACGGACTTCTGCTCCGTGTCTTTCATCGTGTGTATTCGACTACTTGATGGGGCTGAGGGGTATCTGCTGCTGTTGTGGGGTCAGGTGGGGGACGGATGGGCGGCGTCCCTTAGAACAGAAGGGAAGACGGTGCCTTTCCCGCCTGAAGTCTATGAGCTGGAGGCCATTCTTGGGTTTGTGGATTGTGACTGTCCCCTTTGAGGGCCAGCTGATGGAGGGCATTGGCAATTTAGCGACGCTGCGGCTGCTCGTATTAAGAGAATGTGCGCACAAAGAACGCCGACAAGAACACAAGGATCACATTTCCATGTCTCTATTTGGGTGTCTCAGACACACATGTACGGGAGCCTACCCGTGTCGCTTGGCAACCTGACGTCTCTCAAGGTCCTATCCGTTGTAGGCTCATTGCAGGAGGTCGCTTTCTCAGGACCGCTCCCCCCCGCGCGACTACAGTCCCTCTTGGGGCTCTGGATCATGGACACCTCATTCGAGGGCTCGTTGGATAAGCTCGTCAATCTCACGCAACTCAAGTACCTTGTTCTCCGGCGGCCTGGCCTATGGCTTTCACGTATTCCTCCCACCCTCGGCCCCAACCTGACGTCTCTTGTGCTCAGCGATGTCGGCCTGAGCGGCCCCTTGTCTGATGGGTTTGGATTGACCTGGCCGTATCTCGTGGGGCTGGACCTGTCGTACAATACGGTCGGTCGAGATATCACGGGAAAACAGGGCACTACCGTTGATCATCATGGCTGACTTGCTGTTGCAGTTATCAGGGCCGCTCCCCGCAGCGCTTGGCAACGCGACAGGTATACAAAGAATCGATCCTTGCTGCCAAGGGGGGACGAATGGAGGCTTCCAGGGCAGCCTTCCGGCTGAGTGGGGCTCACTCACAAAACTGAAACTTCTCTATCTGAACTCAAGCAATCTGACTGGCACCATCCCTGAGCAGTGGGGTAGCTTATCGTCCTTGCAGTGGCTGGATTTGGGAGCCAATCGGCTCTCGGGGACCTTAAATGCTGTCGGCTCACTTCGGAATCTCAAGGAATTAGATCTTCACAACAACCAGGTCCCGTCGGTGAATTCACGCACCTGCCGCCACTGTTCTGTTCCGGCCACTTCTCTCTCACTTCTCTCTCTCCCCCTATGTGTATGTGTGTATGTCATTTCAATGTAGTTCACAGGACAGGTGCCTGGCGGCCTTGGGGAGTGCAGGGACTTGGTGATATTCAACGCTTCGCAAAACCAAGTCGGTGAAGAGACGCAGAAGGAAATGGATGACTATTCACAGATGCCTTTTTGTTGCAGCTTTCGGGGCCGCTCTCCGCAGCGCTTGGCAATGCGATGAATCTAGCTGAAATCGATCTTTGCTGCCAGACCGATGGAGGCTTCCAGGGCAGCCTTCCTGCTGAGTGGGGCTCACTCACAAAGCTCGGAATTCTCCTTTTCAGACGAAACAATCTCATCGGCGCCATCCCTGAGCAGTGGGGTAACTTATCGTCGTTGCAGTGGTTGGATTTGCAAATCAATCGGCTCTCGCGGACCTTACATGCCGTCGGCACTCTTCGGAATCTCAAAGGATTATATCTTAGCAACAACCAGGTCCGATCAATTTCTGCCCGATCCCCGCCTTTGTACTGTCACTTCTCTCTCTCCCTCTGTGTGTGTGTGTGTGTGTGTGTCACTTCTATGTAGTTAACAGGACAGGTGCCTGACCGCCTGGGGGAGTGCAGGGACTTGGTGATGTTCCACGCTCCGCAAAACCAAGTCGGTGAAGAGATGGAGGAAAAAGATGACTATTCACAATGCCTTCTTGTTGCAGTTATCAGGGCCGCTCTCCGCAGCGCTTGGCAACGCGACGGATATACAAGCAATCGATCTTTGCTGCCAAGGGGGGACGAATGGAGGCTTCCAGGGCAGCCTTCCTGCTGAGTGGGGCTCACTCACAAAACTCGAGTTTCTCAGTTTGAGAGAAAACAATCTTACTGGCGCCGTCCCTGAGCAGTGGGGTAACTTATCGTCGTTGCAGTGGCTGGATTTGGGAGCCAATCGGCTCTCGGGGACCTTAAATGCTGTCGGCACTCTTCGGAATCTCAAGGAATTAGATCTTCGCAACAACCAGGTCCGGGCGGTGAATTCACGCACCTGCCGCTACTCTTCTGTTCCGGCCAGTTCTCTCTCACTTCTCTCTCTCCCTCTGAGTGTGTGTGTGTGTGTGTGTATGTGTGTGTGTTTCTGTCATTTCGATGTAGTTCACAGGACAGGTGCCTGACGGCCTGGGGGAGTGCAGGAACTTAGTGATTTTCACCGCTGCGAAAAACCAAGTCGGTGAAGAGACGCAGAAGGAAATGGATGACTATTCACAGATGCCTTTTTGTTGCAGCTCTCGAGGCCGCTCCCCGCAGCGCTTGGCAACGCGATGAATCTAGCACAAATTGATCTTTGCTGCCAAGGGGGGACGAATGGAGGCTTCCAGGGCAGCCTTCCTGCTGAGTGGGGCTCACTCAGAAAGCTCGAGTTTCTCAATTTGAGACAAAGCAATTTGACTGGCACCATCCCTGAGCAGTGGGGTAACTTATCGTCATTGCAGTTGCTGGATTTGAGAGCCAATCGGCTCTCAGGGACCTTGAATGCTGTCAGCTGGCTTCGAAATCTCAAGGAATTAGATTTTAGCAACAACACGTAAGAGCTCTGTTATCGTGAAGCGAGACAGGTCATACTTTTTTTGCAGATTCACAGCCCTAGCGCCCTCACTTGAAAAGTGGACAAAACTGCGAGAGCTTGAGCGGCAACTCACTAACCGGAATGCTACCTCCTCGAAAGCCCCTCGTGTCACTCAGAAGACTCGACCTCAGCTTTAATCGTATTGAGGGCCTTACTGGAAACGGCTCTCTTCCCGAAACGTAAGATACACATTGTGCTACACATTGTGACAGTGATTGTCTTCAGGCTAGAGGAGCTTTATCTTCGCAACAATACTCTTCGCTCCATTCCAACCACATGGTCTCGTCTGCCTGCTGTGAAGCAGATAGAATTGAGAAGCAACAGCATTGATTCACGCGGCTGGCCGAGATGGTTTCAGACACCAAAAGGATACTGTGACAACTATCATAAATGTAGGCAAATAAAGTGCATATTATCTGCATTTGTGCTCTGTGTGCTGTTAGTGACGCGTTTTGAAGATGAAGCAATGCTATCCGCACCAAATCCTCCCTTCTGTATGATACGGATGTGCGTAGATTGTGTGATTACTACGTTTTCATGCCGTCTTCAGGGGCTCTTGTGCATACGCCAAACTTCTCTCACAACCCTCTGGAAATCGATGTCATTCACTTTCTACAGCCATTTCGAGCGTTGCCGAGGCGAGTAGGAGAGACACACTGTATCTATGAATTGAGTACACGAGTGTGTGTATGTGTGCAGTCTGACGTATCTCAGCTGTGAGAACTGTGTGTTATTTGGCGCCATAACTGATGACGCTCTCTGTTATGTCGAGATAGAGGAGCTACGAAAGTGGCTTAGAAAGCCCTCTGAGATACCTGTAAGCACACTGCATGCTTCCTACGTCAACTCTTACTATCTTCGGCCTACAATGGTGTTTATCCGACAGATAGTTTTGCGGGTCTCTCAAAAGGCGGCACTTTGGAACTTAATTCAAACAAGATCTCGATGGTCTCCATTCGCCGCCCAGCCTTCAATGCTAAGCCATATGGGTGGCTTTCGAGCCCTTCGAGGCTCGCTGCTTCTGTGTGGTTACGGAACACCACGCTTGAAAAGTTTGAGATGTCGGTTTCTCACGATGAATGGCCGAGAAAGTTGGACTTACACTTCAATCCTGTTAAGGGGTGGGTGCGCGGCGTGCGCGCGCTCACGTCTGCTGCCCGCAACTTCCCACACACGGCCCACGCGGCAATGACGAGGTCTCTGCAGATGGAGTGGGACTACGTCTTTCGTGTCGTGCTCACCGACGAGTGCGCTCTCAGCCCCCTCCGCGAGGCCATCGCCAAGGAGCTGCTGCCGGCCCTCCTCGGCGGCCCTGTGACGCCGTCCGAGGTCGACCTGATGCTGCTGCCTGCCCGGCATAGCGGCACCGGCATATGTGACCCTCTCGACCGTGCCGCAGCCGCCTACCCCGCTTCCCGCGCGAGCACCAAGGTGGTCTCCAAGTCCGTCCAAGGCAAGGCTCCGTTCCACCCTGGCGACCATCGTGCCACCATCCGCCACGCCCTCACCCGGAGCAAGCAGCAGCAGGACGTCGCCCACAAGACCAAGAGGGAGGCCGCCCTGCCGCACATCGACCGCCGGCGCCATCGCGTCCTCTCCCGCAGCGCCGAGTACAAGACGTCCGGCTGGCTGACCACCCTCCCGTCGACAGACAACAACACTGGTCTTGATGCTGCGGAGTTTCGAGATGCCCTCAACATGCGTTACGGCCGTCACCCCCCCGGCCTCGCTGCACGCTGCGACCACTGCAACCAGCCCCTCACCGTCGACCATGCGCTGTGCTGCAAGCGGTACGGCCTGGTGATTCGTCGCCACGACGAGCTGCGGGACACTTTTGCCGAGCTGATTGGGATGGCGTGGGGGGACGCTGGTGTGCGTCGGGAGGTGGTGTTGAAGGAGGGAGAGGAGGGGGAGGGTGGGGTCAGGGCGGACATCGTCGCTCGGGGCGTGTGGGAGCGGCAGGCGGCTGCGTCGTTTGACATCTGTATTACGGATCCTGACGCAACGTCTTACGCTTCCAAGAACCGATCGACCAAGTCCATCCTGAAGCAGCACGAGACCGCCAAGAAGAAGAAATACCGCTCGGCCGTCTGCGACTCCCGCGTGACCTTCTGCCCTCTGGTGGTGACGTGTGACGGTGTGTGGGGACACGATGCCAACGTGTTCATCGCCCACATGGCTCATGCGCTGTTGGAGAAGGAGGGGTGGAAGGGTCGGGGGTTCAGTCATGTGTCTGGATGGATTCGCTCTCGCTTGTCTATCGCCCTCGCGCGTGCGACTAGCTTCTGTCTGCGTGGGGGAGGGAGGGGAGGGTTTGCGGGACTGGGGTGTGCTGATGGGGCGGGGATTGATCCCTCCTCCCCTTGAGCCTGTTTGAGTCTGCGTGCTGATGGGACTGTATTTGTATGAGTATCACGGACACACAGACGAGTGTTACGGTTAATGACAGTTTCCCCCCCAGACAATGACGACTCACTGAAGGCTGACTTTCTCTGCCTTTGGTCCCTGTTTGCAGGCTGTGGTCGTTCGCAAACGATATGCGCCGGTGAGAATGACTGGCGAGCGGAGTTTCATGTTTGCGGACGTGTCTGTGAACGATTTCTCTGCAGGGCAAAGTGCAGCCGCACGCTGACCACTTCATCACCAAGCGTCCCGCAAAGAGGACATTCAGAGATCGCCAGGGCAGCGACATTTTCGCTCTCACTGGGGTAAGGATGCACTCACGTACAGGTCACGTGAACGCCCATCGCTGCGGGTATCCATTGGTGTGGCAGGTGGGCTTCACTGAGGAAGAAGATGCCATGATCCTGAGGATGCTGCCGGAGGTAGCGGCGGTCTGCGGGCGGGACTATGAGGAGATCAAAGGCACGGGCAGATTGATGAAAGCCATGGATGCAGTGATGTCACTGAATGATGTGTCTGCCCGTGTGTCTTCTTCTGGTTTTGGCTGTCAGAGTTGGCGAAGAGGGGAGTCGATCGCTGCAATGACGTTTTGCACAAGGAGGGCGTGTGGACTCAGCTGGGTAAGACGCAGATGGATCTGTGTACTCACAGAGCACACACATCATCCCAATGTGTGTGTGTGTGTGTGTGTCTGGTCAACTCAGCTGGCCACTTTCCCCACCGCACCGTCGCTGCAGTCCGCCGCCGGGCACTCTTGCTGCTGGCCAGTGAAGAGCCCAACATCAAGAGCGGCAGGTGGGCACCCGACGAGGAGAGAAAACTTCTCCGACTGATGCGCCGCCTCGGCAGAGACCTCAAGGTCAGCTGCAGAATACAAACAGAGAAACAACTGTCTGATACAGACACACATGTGGGTGTGCTGTGTGCAGGTGTTGTCTGAGAAGCTGCACCGCAAGCAGGAGTCTGTGCGCAAGAAGGTCAGGCAGATGCAGCGCAGCGAGCAGCGCCAGCGAGATGAGGAGACCACCAAGTGCGAGGACGTGGAGGAGTGGAGCACAGACACGAGCACATCGGCTAATGAGAGCGGCTCGACCGGCACAGCAACCGGCACAGCAACCGACAAGCTGACGGACAAGGACGACGACGGCCTTCTGTCTATCATCCAGTGAGTTTGGACACGTTCATCAATGGACAGACAGCTCTCCCCCTGTCCTGCCACTGTATCTGTCTGCATTGTTCTGTGTGTGTGCGTGCGCAGGGAGGAGACGGGCCTGCAGCTGCCTCTGCCCAACCTCACCTGGAAGGAGATAGCACCAAGCGTTCGCTCTCAAATGGGCAAAAAGGTCACCGATTCCCGCCTAAGGGCGTTTTATAGCGGCCTCTTCGTCCGGCGTGCGTGCAAGACTCTCAGGATCTCGCGGGACGCGGTGAACGATGTGCGCAGCAAGGAAGGAAGGACCTGTGCCAAGACACTGTACACACACATCCCCCACTGGTTCCCGCGTGTCTGTGTGTCTACGCTTTGCTACGTAGTTGCTCTTCCGCGTTCTCCTTCGCTACGTCAAGAGGGTCTTCGCCATCACACCTGGTGCGGCCCATTCAGGGTGGATCAACGAGATCGACACCGCGGCCGCCACGTACTTCTGGCCGCAGTTGGAAGTCAGGCGCTTCTTCAAGGTAACCCAACACGACACACACCGCACCGATCATGTCGTCGCTTGCCTCCCTTCTCCCCGGCAGACTCGGTTTGACTCGCAAAGGATCCAGATCCTCCTCGATCGGGACACCTCCCCCGTCAAGCAGGTCAAGAGGCTCCACAAAGCCCTCAGCTGCAAAAAGCTGAAGGAGGAGGATGCGGCCACCATCGACAAGATCGTGCAGCTATACAGCAAACCGGCCGACAGCACTGGCGGCACAAGCAGCAGCAGCACGGCGGCGAGTGGCATCGAGGCGGCTGAGAGAGCGCCTGGCAAGGCCACCAAGAAGCGGCGCAGGGGTGGGGAGGAGATCTCCATGAGGCCGTCGGACAGCCCGTTCGCCAGCCTAGCCGAGCCAGAGGGAGAGTGCGTGAGCGGCATGGACGACGCCACCAACAGCACCCCTCCCCCACAGAAGAAAAAGCGCAAAAGGGGCAAGAGGCCGACGGAGTAGACAGGGCAGGGGGATGCAGGGAGATGGGGCCGTGGGTGTCTGTGTGGCTGTGTGTCGGTGTGGCCAGCTGGCTCAAGTGGGGGCCATACACACACTGGCAGGGGGTGACTGGGGGACAGCACGCGCACCCGAAGGGCGGCCCGTTTGCTGTGCTGTGTTGTTGATATTGCATGCATGCATGTATCGGTGTGCTGGGCCTCGGGCTGCCTTTTTCTTCCCTGCCTTGCTGAGGCAGATCACTGCATGTGTTGTCCGCGTCAGCTTTTTTTGCTCGCGGCCTCACCGTTGTTTTTCCTGTGTAGAAAGAAGGTCCACATGCTTTTGTAGGCAAAGTCGCGTCAGCGTGGCGGCAATTTTGGGTGCGTGCAAGCAGCGGGCAGCCAGGCTGGCCCGCTCCGCTCCCATTTGGTAGCTCTGGTGGTAGCGAAGTCACTGAACTGCGCACCTGACTGAGTGTGCCCCATTTTTTGAGGGGCCACTTTGTGAGTACGTGCGTGTCTGGCAGCGACCTTTTTTTGCCGGTGGGCGGGCTGCTTGGATGACTCGTGCCTGGATGAGAGTGGTGCTGTCTACCTTTCCCCCTCTGTCTGTTTGCATGGCGCAGTGAAGTGAAGTGGTCTGTCTGAATGCTGTTGTCTTGACTGACTGCAGCTCTACAATGAAACGGTGTGAGTAAATGGCTGGATGGAATGCTTCGTTGCGCAAGTCACAAATGACACGGTCTCACCTGGCTCTCGGACAGCCGATGCGTTGTCTGTGCCTATGCATACAGCCAGCTGTGTTTCTTTCGATGGCTGGATGCCTGGCCTGTCTGTCTGTCTGCCTGCCTGCCTGTGTAACTTAATAGATGAATTGGCTTCATTCATGTGGATGCACGTGTAGCTGCACGTCGGTGAGTACTCTGGTGCGCATGGCAGGGCAGGCAGTCATCGATGGCTGGCCGGCCGGTAGGTTGGCTGATTGCGTCTTGGCACAGACAGACACCATAATAGGCCTGTCTGCCTGCCTGCCCGTATGTCCGTATCCATGAGTTAGCTAAGCGGTACTGAATTGAACCGTCAGATACACAAGGCGGAGTGTGTCTAATGTCTTTGTTTCCCCTGACTTGGCCCAAGGTACTGACTACCATAATCACAGATCCGACTTCACGTAGTGCCTGTCTTGGGGATCAGCACTTGTGGATTAAATAAGGGGCCTTTCGTGACGTGACGTCGCTTTCCACACTGATTGATCCCCCAAGGCCCTCACGTGCAGTGCACACGCGTCTGTGTGAGTGTGTGTGTGTGTGTGTGTATGTGCTCTCATCTCCCTCCCTCCCTCCCTCTCTCCCTCTCTCCCTCTCTCCCTCTCTCCCTCACCATGGCTGTCTGCTTGTCGGTTCTTCTATCGATTCATTCGTCAAAGAAAGAGAGCACGCACCAGGAAAGCCGGACACACGACACGCAGATCGATCACACAAGTCTGGCCTGCCAAACAGCTGACAATCACAGCCTTTCGCACACTGACACCCGCTGGCCTCGCCCCAGCTGCCGGACCAGAATCGTGTGTGTCAATTTGTCTTCACATCATTGCATTTATGCAGGTCAACTTAAGTGCATTGTTTAGCTTAACTTGATTCATGTGCACGTCAGCATTGAGCAGACACTTGAGTCACCTCCGTCTCTCACTAGATAGAGTCGACACATGCAGTGTTGGACGCACACACTGACTGACTGACTGGACGCACACACACTGCACGGACGTCAGACAAAAGACAGTCATCCATCCGTTTGTCTGGCTCTGCTCCCACGGAGACGGTTGTCGATGATGGGACGGGTGCGATTGTTTGTGCACGAGCTGGGATACTCGCAAACACAGACAGACAGACAGACAGACAGCACATGGACTTGTGTGTGTGTGTGTGTGTGAGTGTCCGCTTATCTGTGTGTGATGGAGTGAGTGGGCATTTGTCTCCAGACGCTCGCCAGAGTTTGCCGGTCGATTGCTGATTATCCAGACACACATAGGGAGACACGACATGCAGTTGTTCTGTTTGTCTGTCTGTCTGACACTTGCTTAAACACGACAGTTGCAGTGGATGCACCGGGAGTATTGAGTGGAGGCAGCGATGTTGGTGTGAGGCTTGACTGACGAACGATGTTGGTGTGGGCGTGCAGAACAACGGTTGGCTCTGCAGCCATCACACACACACACACATGAGTGTCTGCCTGTCTCTCTCTATGTTTGTCTCTGTGTTTGACTGACGGTGCTGATTGAGTCGTCGAGGAGCTCGTGGACGGACGTCAGCTCGGCCGCTGCTCTTGTCGTTGCCTGGGCTGCTTGAGAAGGTGACGGTTGGGATATAAGATGCAGGCAGCGATTGTCGTGCTCGGTCTTGGACCCGTTCTGCCGGACTGGGTGTGTTCTCCTGTCTCTGAAGCAAACACACATTTGGCACATGCACGAGTGCGTGTGTGTTCTTTGCTTCTCCTTGTTGTGCGCCCGCCGGAGAGGTTGGCGTTGTCGTGGAGGACTCCATCTGTGGCTGCACAAAACTCAGAGGAAGCGTAATGTCGATGTGTATCTGTGCAGTCTTTGCTCCCTCTTTTGTGTGCTGTGGGTCCGCGTGTGTGGCGACGTCTCCTCCCCGTCGATGAGGGCGTCTCACTCCGAACCGGCAACGGGCCCTGCTGCGCACCTACTACTTTGACCGACACAGGAGGAATGCTTATGTGCGTTAGTTGTGTCGTCTCTTTCGTGTGTGTTGTGTGTGGCTTCCTGTAATCTTGTGCGCCGGGCGCCGCTGCCATGTTGTCGTTGTCGTGGTCGGTCTTGGACCCGCTCGCCGCCGCCGTCAGCCACAGGATGCCGAGGAGGTAGAGGGCGGTCTTCATGCTGCTGCGCTTCGTTGCTGTCTGCATGGGTCTGCTCGCTGTACGCTGTTTTCGTTGTGCTCGCAACTCGAAAACAGCGCGAGAACAAGATCTGCCTGCACACAACACAGAACATAGCATGCCAGCAGACACACAGATTGCTTGTCTCTCTGTTTGACTGCTTGTCTCTCTGTTGGTCTCTCTGTTTGACTGACGGTGCTGAAGCACAGAGTGTGTCTCTTTCTGGTGGATGAGGGGCAAGGCTGCTTGAGGGAGGGAGGGAGGGGCGAGGGAGAATGGGAGGGAGGGGTCGATTCAATCGGTCAATTTAATCGGTCGATCGTGTGCTTGTGATTGGTAAAGCATTCGCGATCGGTCGATCCCATGCACACGTGCGTACAGAACCAAAATACAGACATATATACACGTCCAGCTGGTCATTCGTGTGCGACGGAATTTGATTGTGTGTCTCGTTGCGGCCCAGGGGTAGCCTGGGCCGGCAGACAGGACAAGGGTACACTGTGCGCACCTTCTGTTGAGGTGTTCGTATGTCTGCAGTCGTGTTGCTGACGGCGGCACCCACCGCAGCCTCAGGGCCACCCTGTGCACGTGTGTGTCGACGGGGAACTCAGGCCGGTTGAGGCCGAACATCATCACACACGGCAGCGTCTTGGCCCCCACACCCTTGCAGCTGAACCACACACCACAGACAGACGTCAGGAATAGGAATGAATGAATAGGATCAAGGGTTCTCACTTCCGTTCGCCTCCTTGCCCGCTGGTTGTCTTCTATCTTCTGAACCTCTGCTGTTCGCCTCCTATTTCCGGCGGTCGAGGAGGAGATCGGAAGCTCGCCGGGCGAGGGAAGGGGGAAGGGGAGATCTGACGAGCATTGCACGCGGCTGATCGGATCTGCTCTCGAGTGTGGTCATTGAACAGAGGACAATCATTGATACCTGCGCTGCGGCCCATCCCTGGGCCCATCCCTATCGCCGCAGATGCCGGTGCGCAACACAGTGCCCCGGCAGCACGACGAACACCGACACAAACAGCACGCCGGGCACTTATGTGGCTGTCCTTTGTGCAGGATCTTGTAGAGCTGCCGGGATCTGATGCCGAGTAGCGGAGCAGGGGCACCAATGGTGAGAGAGAAGTCTTACATGACCACTCCTGCATCCACTGGGTCTGTCGGGTCTGCGTGGGTGTGGTGTGTGCACGTCAGCCGGACGCCGATGCGTGCTGGTTGGTCGGCTTGCCTGAGGATGTGGAGAGGCGGCTGCTGACCTCCCTCACGGCATATGACTGCGTCGCCCTTCGAGCCTCGTCCAAGAGCGTCGGCTGCCAGCTGGTCAGCGAGGTCAACCTGACGCGCCGCCTCGACGCGGCCATTCGCGAGAAGGGCCTTGGTGGAGTGCTCACCTACCAGAAGCGGTGCGAGACGGTCCTGCTGATTCTGTTGCAGTGGATGGCGGCCATCTTCAGTGTGGTCTCCACTCTCGTTCAAGTAACCGTGGGTCTGAGCGTTCTCCTCTTCATTTACACGTCCATACGCAGCTGGGCCGTCGTCTTGACATCGTTTCTGGTGCAGCAGCCGGCTGTGTTCCTGGATGGTTCAGTTTCGCTCCTCTCCCTTCTCGTCTGGGTGGTCCTGTTTGAGGTGATTGAAGTGGCCATCCGATGGCTTGGGGAGGAATCCATCGTCGTGCGAGCGTATAGGCAGTTCTGGGTGGCGCTTAATGACTTGGGTCACTTTCTGGGTGTGTGGATACTCCTCGAGTGTGCCAGGTCGATCGCATTTTTGACCCCGCCGCTTGGTGTTGAGATCATGGCTTGGCTGCTCCGCGTCTCATCGTCGGTCTGGTTGTTCGTAATGTGCCTAGCGCTCAGCATCATTCTGGTGTTCGTCACTCGCTCTGTCAAGCGGCGTGTGGCTTTGTCGATCGGCAAACTATTCCTCGAGTGTGTTGTGGCGTTGCTTTCCATCTCTGGGATCTGCGTCGCCTGGCTTTGGTCCCCGAGCGACGAGTGTTCCGTTCAGCTGGTCACTGTCGCCATGAGATGGCATCTCTGCATCTTGCCGCCGGTCTGCCTGGGCATCATGTGCCTTCGAATCTGGAGAGGGCTGATGGACGTGCAGCTGCTGATCGACACTAGGGCGAGTTATCTGTTGCGGGTGTTGTACGTCATCGAGGAGGGCGGCTGCTGGGACCGATGTGTGTCGCTCATCTACTACCTCAAAAACAGCCGCCGCCTCCCCTCTCTGCCTATCATCATCACGGCACACGATCTGCGGCGAGCGGGCAGCCGGGCGGTGTTCATTTCGCGGCCGGAGGCGGTACGCCAATACGGACTATTCAGCCACCGTGTCCGCCGCCCATTGGCCCAGATAGACTATTTCAACGGCCAAGACTATCTGGGCGGCTTAGCAGACACCGATGCGCTGAAGTACGTCAGCATCGATTTGACCGAATCCGACCCGCCGACCAGACGTGAGCACAGCAGCCCAGAGAACACACACATGGGATGGCGGAGAGATGAGAATGTGTGAACCGTTTCCTTTATGTCTGCTGCCTGCCTGCAGGTGACGGGTACGTATACTCTTCGATCACGGATCTCATCATCCTTGTCTATCCGATCGACGAAAGCACCCACTCGCCTCTGCGCCCCCACGTCACCTACCCAAGTGACCTCCTCACTCCCCCTCCCAAGCAGTACCAGCTCACGCCAGACGTCATTCGGCACGCAAGGGGCCAGTGGAACGGCTGCCGCAAAGCGGGCGTGTGGTGGGTCGACAAAGGCACCCTGTGGCAGGTGCCGAACTTCATTCTGTGTGGGGACAAGGCGGCTGATGCGTTTCTTGTCCACGTCGACTCGCGCCTGGGGATCTGCACCACGGAGCCCCCCGTCGCTTGGAAGCGCCGCCCAGATGAGCGGTACCCCCGCACAGCTGCGCTCATCCGCCAGAAGGTGGTGGCTGCATAGGGGTCGGCTGCATACACGAAGAGGGAGGGAGGGGGGCTGTCTGAAGGTTGGTGGGTACGTCCAGTGCCACAAGGGTGCTCGTACTTAAGTCTGTGTTTGTCGTATGGCGTGTTTCGGGATGCCTTTGGATGTACAGTCAGTCATTGCTGCAGCGCATGCATTAGTCATCTGCATGATGATCTTGATCTAGCTGAGTAGACAGGGTGGGATGTGTCGGTGCATTTCTGCTGGGGCATCTGTTTGTGTGTGCATCAACCAATTCTCAGTCCATCCATCCAGTCGCTCCATGCCAAAGTGTCGGCAAACGGTACACACACACACACACACACACACGGACACCCCAAACCACACACACGGACACCCCAAACCACACACACGAACGACTTAGCCAGCCAGAGAATGGAAGGCAGTCAGGCAGTCAGTCAGGAGGCGTCGCTCCAGGTGGGTCAAGAACGGAGAGGCGACATTCAAACAAGGCGAATCGATTGGCAGGCAGGGCGGCCAAGCGACGAGAAACACATCCATCCATCCATCCACAGATGCATACGATTGAGATCGGTGTCTCATGTCGTCAGACTGCACATACATCACACTCAAGGATGAAATGAACACACAGATGGATGGATCCGAACATTGCAAAACTGCCGAGGCTACCGACTACTCACAGACATCAAGCAATGGATCCAGGACGGAAGGCATTGAGCGTGGATGGATGGATGGATGTGGCGACACAAGTCAGACCAAACGACTGACTGCGTATGGGACGGATGGATGAAGGCGATAAGTGAGTGATTCGACACACACAAACACACACGGATTGTGATAAACGATGCTCATGTGCATCGGGCGTCATGTGAATAAGAGTCAGGCAGCAAAGGTGTACACACAGACACAGAAGGATAAAGCAGTGAATCGGTCCTAACGCGGAGAAACAAGAGACTACTCAGCTAGTCACGCTCACCAAGGACGGCTTCATGTCCTGATCATGGCACACACCGCACAAACACCCATGCCAGCCAGTCATGTGTGCGAAGGATCTCAACATAGAGCGTTCGACGATCGTCACCCCATCCATATGTGTGTGTCTCCCTCCGTCCGTGCCCTCTTCTCTCTGGTGCAGTGTACAGCATCTCGTGGTCGCCAACCATCATGCTCGACACCAAGGACGCCTCCTTCATCGCAGACATCGACAACGCCATCATCGAACACTCCACACGCACACCACATACACATCAATGACACGCGGACACCGGACAGCGCCTTGAAAGTGTATGTGATGTGATGGAATGGAATGGAATGGACTGGAGCAAAGACCATCAAAAACGGCAGAGGAGTGGGTAAGTACAACGCAGAGTCACAATCTATATGAGGCAGGAGACGACACCCCACCCACCAGCTGGATGTGTCGCATGTTGGCCTCTCCCCTGTGTGTCTTTCGGCCCGCCACCTTTCTGTCTGTCTGTCTGTCTGTCTTTCTTATACCCGTGAGTGTCGTATACACACAGACACATAATACATATATTTGTATAAATGCCATGGAATGGAATGAACCACTGAGGCGCTCCTCTCACCAAAGCACACACGCGCCACCCAGTCAGCGTTACAGCACTGATAGATACGCGTGTATGTAATTCGAGGGCACGCCACACACGGAGAGACCAGACGTCCACCGCTGCAACACGACGAACCTCTCGGCTCTCTCTCCCTCTCTCTGATGGAAAACCGACGCGACAGCCGATGTCATTGCTCCGTGTGCAGCCATGAGCGTGTGTGTGTAGGGGGTCCGCCGCCCACCGACACATGACAGAATGGCCACGCACAGGAGCAAACCGTCTGTCGTCTGTCCACATGGGGTGGTCTCTTTCTACATCAGTCAGTCAGTGAGTGGGTCGGCAGATACACCCCTCACTCCAGTATATATGTGATGTGTATGGGACATATACAAAACGCTTAAACCCACATCGGTGTCCGAGCTGTCGAACACCAACTTCAAAACCCGTACCCCTGTGCAGATTTGTACAGAGAGAGAGAGCGAGAGAGAGAGGGGGGAGGCATAGTGCTCAAAAGGACTCAGCAGAGAAGGGCGTCACCACTCACAACGGCAGCGGGGCTCACACACGCCAATCGGCAGTGCGTTCCGCCCGCTACTCCTTCCCTGTCGCTGCAGAGAAGAGATCCAGTCACTCATGAGTCAGAAAACGACACCATGGATGCCACCTTGGTTTGCGTCTCCCTCTCCATTATGTACACGTGGCCACAGACAGACAGACAGAGAGACAGGGAGGGAGGGAGGGAGGGAGGGAGAGAGAGAAGGCGACGCACCAATGGCTGCACACCATCCATGCCACACATACGTGGGCAGTCAGACATCCGGGTGGCATCGACACCACCACAGACTGGCCATGGATACGCCACAAGGCATCAACAAAACGC